AGTCGACTGTTGAAAAGCAGCCCATCTCGATGTCGGAGGGTGGTTCATTTTTTTACAATAGACCATTCACAATGTGTGAAGTCAAAGTCGCTCTTGGTGCAAAGACGCAGTCTGCACCAGGGCCAGACAGACTCCACTATGAAATGTTGAGGAAACTGTCCCCTGAATCTATGAACGGTCTGTTAACTTTCTTTAATCATCTATGGCAAGCTGCTGCCTTTCCTCGTTGCTGGAAACATGCCCACATAATCCCTTTTTTGAAACCTGGGAAAGACCCTTCCATTCCTACGAGCTATCGTCCCATCGCACTCACAAGTTGCTTAGGGAAGACTTATGAGCGGCTTGTGAATCGTCGTCTTGTCCATTTCTTAGAGACTGAGAATTTTTTTGATGTAAACCAGTGCGGCTTTCGGGAGGGACGAGCGACCACCGATCATTTGGTTCGCCTAGAGACCGCTATACGTGAGGCATTTGTACACCGGCAGCATTGTGTCTCGATGTTTTTTGATTTACACAAAGCATATGATACCACATGGAGGTATGGAATACTTCGTGACTTGTACAATTGTGGTGTACGGGGCCGCATGCTTCATTGCATACAGAGCTTTCTCAGCGAAAGAACCTTTCAAGTCCGATTGGGCTCCACACTTTCATATGTTTTTTCTCAAGAAAATGGTGTTCCTAAAGGAGGACTGTTGAGCGTTACCCTCTTTGCTGTAAAGATTAACAGTCTAGCTAAGGTTATGCCATCATCAGTAACTTACTCTCTATATGTGGATGGTGTGCAAATCTCTGTGTCTTCCTGTAACCTCTCCAGTTGTGAACGACAATTGCAGCTCAAAATCAACAGAATGTGTAAGTGGGCAGACGAAGACGGCTACAAATTTTCTCCTGAAAAAACAGTCTGTGTTCCTTTTTCATTACGCCGGGGATTGTCTCTTGATCCTTCCTTGCATCTTAATAGCATTGAGATATCAGTCCAACAAGAACACAAATTTTTGGGTGTTATTTTTGACAAGAAACTTACCTTTGTACCCCATCTGAAGAATTTGAAACGGAAATGCTTGATGTCATCAAGCACCCTAAAAGTGCTATCGCATATGTCGTGGGGTGCTGATAGGCGCTGTCTTCTACGACTGTATAACTCCTTAGTTCGATCCCGCCTCGACTATGGTGCAGTAGTATATGGTTCAGCGCGGCCATCCGCTTTTAAAGCGCAGACCGCATAGCGCGTTTTTGCTCGCGATTCAGGCGCGTCGGCGTTAAACTGACGTCATTTCCTGCGCGCGGGCGCGCGTTTTCGCGGGAGCGTTGGTTTCTAGCCGACCCAGAACAAGACGCACGCGCCGAGGCGTCGAAGCGGCTCTCGCCCAATGAGGGTCGGTCGAACTATCACGTGATCCTGCACAGTACGCTGTTTCGTATTCAGCACATTTCAAAGTGTTCAAAAGCATCTTTAATTTCCATGTAAAAATTGAAAAGATGTTCTTTTGACACACAAACCTGTTTTATTTACTTATTTGTTCATTTAATTCTCATTTTGTAGTATTTGCGTCAACACTTACATCGCGTGTTAAGAATTCTGTTATCTGGCAACGCTGATAACGCGCGGCCGGCGGTGCTTGACTTTGTCTGCATGCGGGTGCCCCCGCGTCAGCTTCCGCGCGAGCATTCATAGCGCGTCGCGTTTTCGCGTGCAGAAAAACGCGCCATGCGGTCTGCGCTTAAGATGCTTGACCCAGTACACCACCTTGGACTACGACTTTCTACAGGTGCATTTCGCACATCTCCTGTGAAGGGTTTGTATGCTGATACGCATCAAATGTCCCTTGAGAAACGGAGGCAGTACCTCAGCGTCTCTTATGCTTACAAAGTATTTTCAAATCCAAAGCATCCCTCCTACAGTCCCCTTCATGCTTGCAGAAGTTCACAGCTTTTCGAAAACAAGCCGACCATTGTTAGACCATTAAGCCTCCGTTTGCAAAGTACTTGTCAATCCCTTAATATCCCCCTCCATGAGATTCCCTTGCTTAAAAACACTCATAGGGTTGCTCCATGGGATGTTCTGCCGATCTTCTTTGACTGGTCACTTGCAAAATACAGTAAGAGGGTCATTTCACCACAAATCCTCCGGCAGGAGTTCCTCTCCTTGCAACAAAAATATGCAGACTACCTGGAGTTTTATACAGATGGGTCCAAATCGTCGTCTTTCGTAGGGTGTGCTTTCTATTCCGCCTCCTACAGCAAAGCCACACAAGTTGACTCTAGGGCAAGCATTTTCACTGCAGAGCTTTATGCTATTTTACTAGCGGTCGAACATATACTCGACAATAGTATTATGAAAGCTGTAATTTTTGTCGACTCACAAAGTGCCTTATTGGCTGTGTCCTCCCTGATGCCCACAAAGAACCGCCTTGCACAACATCTACATGGTAAGATCAATAGCGCCCTGCGACGCGGTCGGGACATTAAATTCTGCTGGGTGCCAAGCCACGTTGGTATTTTGGGCAATGAAGAGGCGGATAAATTGGCCGTGTCTGCCCAAGGCTCGTCTATAACATTCAATTGCTTACCTTACCAAGACATGAAACCACTTCTGAGGAAATCTATTTTTCTCAAATGGCAGCTGGAATGGGATACAGGGAGCAACAACAAACTTCACATTATCAAGCCCGTTCTGGGCGTTTGGGAGAGCTCTTACAACAGGGAACGTCGTATGGAGGTTCTTCTGTGCCGTCTAAGAATAGGTCACTCCCGTGTGACACATCAGTATCTGCTTCGTGGTGAGGATGTTGCACTATGTGAACATTGTGGAGAGCTTCTGACCGTGTTGCACATTTTGTGGCATTGTTCGTCCCATCAACCACTCCGTCAATCATGTTTTCTCGAACGTTTAGGGATCATCTCCCATTTCATCCCTCTTTTTTGCTTGGTGATAAACCTTTAGTTCCATTCAGTCGTGTCTTAGACTTTTTAAAACAAACTGGATATTTATACCATTTGTAAATATGTAGCCTCAAAGTAAACTTTTGTTATAATATGCTCGAAATACGTTAAGTTTGGCGCATTATGGCCCTCTTTGCTGCTGCGCCAATAAACTCCTAATCATCATCATCATCAACCTCCGTTGTGGCGTCACGACCTAGGGAGTGACCGCACGTGTAGACATCATAGGTCGGCATTTTAAGCTGTCCTTAATCAAGCTCACGATCACCATTTTTTTCCGCAATCAGAACTCACGCCCACTTACGGTCACGATTTACTCAAAATAGGACCATCACCCGGACTAGCCCTCACGGTTCAACACAAAACAAAAACTCACTCACCATCATCATCACGGTGCTCACGCTCACAGGTCATTACAAATCATCAGACTCACAGGTCATCACACTCACAGGTCCTCACGATCCTCACACTCACAGGTCATCACGGTCCTCACGGCACTCACACTCACAGGTCCTCACAGTATACTATGCGACTCCTTTCTTACACTATACGCATATGTACTCTGAATTTGTTTCCGACTTTCAAACGTTTCAGGGTAAAATACGTCTGCACTATGGAATCCAGAACTTCTAAAACTGCAAAATTAACATATTTCAGAGCAGAGTACTGCTTATCTTTCAAACAGCAGGTCGAAGTATAGCATGGCGTGGAAGAGAACGACAGATTCTGGACGCCGCCATGCCCATTGGAGGCTTCGGAGCCGACGGAGTCAACGGAGTACTACCTGGAGAACCCCTGGCGGCGACAATTCGAAACCACGAAAACGAAACCAGAACATCTATCTCCTGAAATATGCTGAAAACTTCGCCTGAGTACTGCGTTGGGTCCCAAGAAACTATTATTTTATTGAATGTATCCTGGAAGATACACTGTGCTTTAGAGGCTCAAAAAATAATAAAAACGAATGGAAACATTTTGTGTCGCGAGAAGTGGTTGGAATCCTCGGCAGCGTCTGTGTTCACTGTGCAGAGTTAACGCAGCGAGGAGGGGGAAGTCATTGATGGCGTGCAGAGTAGGGATGCCGCGAACTTTTTTCTAATCGAATTTTCGATGCTCAAATCAAGCGGTTTGAGAGGTTCGAAAGATTTCGAATTTTCGAACTTTCCATAGCAAGAAATTTGACGAAAGTCGAATTTTCGAACTTATTAAACTAAGATGTTCGACGCTTTCGAATTTTCGAGCTTTTACGCTGCAAAATTCGATGCTTGTCGAACTTTCAAACTTGATAGACTAAAAATGGCTGATTTTCCAACTTTCGACTTTTTTGCACTAAAAAGTTCGAAGCTTTTCGAACTTTCGACCTTCTTGAGCTAAGAAATTCGATAACTTTCGAACTTTCGAACTTAATAATCTAAAGAATTCGAAAATTAGCGAACTCTTGATTCCTCGAAAGTCTTTCGCCGGTCTTTCGAAGTTCGTCGAACTTTGAAAGACCGGCGGGCGGTTTCATTTGGATTCAAGCAGTGAGATACATTCGTAATATTTTTTTTTCGCAATTTTACATGGGGTGCCGCATTCCTTGCGAAAGACAATGCCGTTTATTTCAATCATTTGGCATGCTTGGTTTTAGAAAAATAAATTCCCGAAGGAGCGAGGAAGGACGACGGGTTTTTGACAATTGTCGTTTGTGCCATATTTAAAGCGCGCTATAGCCGAAGCTATTTATGGTAGAGATGTAAAACTTTTTCAGAATTATCTATATATAGCAGGGGTGGCCAGGCTGACCCGGCCTGGGAGCCGCAAACAAAACCACCAAACCTCTAAGAGCCGCGGGGGGGGGGGGGGGGGGGGGGGCATATGTTTGTTTAGGGCCTTTAGGCAAGAGCTTGCCCCCCCCCCCCCCCCCCAAGAAACATACACAATGAACCAAAAAATAGAAACAGTTCAGTGAAGAGCGTGGCAGCTTTGTTTATTTCATTCATCTCGGCTGCGGGCACAGTGAATTACACTAATGAAGCGGTTGCTCATTGTGTATCTGTGTTGGGCTTCCCCATTCATAAAACAAGCCGCTTGAAGTTCGGCTCGAACGACGTCGTTGCGCTCCGGAGCAGCTCAGTCAGGTGGTCGTCCGTAAGAGTCGCGCGCTGTTTTGACTTCACCGCTTTAATTGTTGAGAACACAACCTCGCAGCAGTAGGTTGATCCAAATATGGAGAGGAGTTTCTGGCCCGCGAGCTTGACGTGGGGATACCTTGCTTTTGGCACCTGCCCCCAGAATACTGCAATTTTCTGAGACTGCAGGAACGTCTTCAGCCCTTCGTCTTCTTGTAGTTCAAGCAGTTCCAGTTCCAACGCTCCTACATCTCCTGCCAAGTTTTTCATGGCTGGACAGTCGACACTCAACACATCAACCATAAAAGGATTCATCAGAAGGGCAAAACAGGGCTTGAGTTGGTGCATATCTTTGAACCGGGAATGAAAGTCCCTCTCGAGTTCCTCGAGCTTTACGAAATATTCCCTGAGCTTAGCATCGGTCAGCTCAAACTCGGGTTCTGCATCCAGCATGATCTTCAGCTGCGGGAAGTGGATCAGGCGCTTTGTTTTCAGGTCGTTTTGAAAACGTTTTAGCTTGTTTTGGAAGCTGAAGACTGTTTGGGCGAATTTCGATACTATTTTTTCTTTCCTTTGCAGCGACATGTTTAGAGTTTTAAGGTGCTGAACTACGTCAGTGAGGTAACCGAGATCAACACACCAACCTGCGTCATGAAGTTCAGGACATGGCTTCTCTTTCGCCTCCAGAAAAGCTTGAATTGGCTTAAGGAGATCCACAAACCTTGATAGTACGTTGCTCAGTGACAGCCAGCGTACCGCACAAAAAAACGAAACGTCGTTGGGCGCTTCATGAAGTACCAGTTCTTCGAGGAAGTTGCGGAATTGCCGATGGGTTTTTGCATTTGATCGTATGTAGTTGACGACTCGAAGGACGGTGCTTATAACGTCTTTGTAGCTGAAATGCTTTGCCACCAGGTGCTCGCGATGGATAATGCAATGAAATGAGAGAAAATCTGGAATGGTGGGATCGCTCCGCAGAAGACCTACCAAGCCCACATTGTTACCAAGCATAGCAGGCGCACCATCAGTGGCAATAGCGACAAGTTTCTTTAGAGGAACGTCGAACCTCTCTAACGTTGTTTACAATGCATTCTTAATGTCAACACCGCGAGTGGTTTCCTTGAGGGCAACCATGTCCAGAAGCTCTTCTCTCACGCTTTCGTCGGATGAGACATAACGGACGAAGATTGCAAGCTGTGGCTTGTCTTGTATATCCGTAGATTCATCAAGGGCTAAGCTGAATGCTTTGCAGCTGTTTAGGCCCTCTTGAAGCTTGTCGACGACGTCGGCGCTTAGCTGTGAAATGCGCCTTTCGACCGAATGTCGTGAAACTGGGACTTGGTTCACCAACCTTTGAAGATTCTTGTTGTTTGGATCCAACAATGCCACGACGTCGGAGATGTTAGTCTTCACAAATTCTCCTTCCGAGTAAGCTCGCTTGGTACGAGCAATGTTCCACGCGATTGCAAAGCTTGCTTCGGCTGCTACGTCAGATTCCTTGGTGAAGGTCTTCATCAAGCACTGCTGATTCTGAAGTCGCGATTTGAGCTGGGCCAGTTTAACTTTTCTCAAATCAGATGAAGCTGGATAGTCCAGACAAAAGGTTTTGTGATTGGTCTCATAATGCCGTCTAACATTGCTTGCCTTGTGGTGCGAAATTGCTGCATTGCAGATGAGGCAGAGGGGCTTACCGTTTTTCTCAGTGAAGGCGAAATCTTCCTCCCACTCAAGAAGGAATGTCCGATGTTCATCTTCGTACTTTCGTTTCTTGTTGGTAGCCATTGCGACGACGTCCGCAGAGCCTCGTCACAACTTCGCCAAGGGTGGTTAGACGTGGGCAAAAGTTAACTTCTTGTCTCGACAGAGCAGGTAGAACACCGTAGAGGCAGCTGGAAAAATGATGACCTCCTCGCATGGAATGCAGACAGTCATTTAGAACTTTTTTTATCCTCCGTATGCACATGACTGCTTTTCCAATCGAAGCACGACCTTGATACAACAAACATTTTGCCCTTCCATACAAGTGTTTTAGACACGCCTTCACTAACCGCTGGCTAGTCACCCCCTTCTCCCCCTCCCCGAAAGTAGAACAAAGCAGCCTGCGGGTCACAACTGTAAACCGGTAAAAATAATGAGAATGTTCTCGGTCCTTTGTGAACTTGAACATAACACCCGTGACTAGTGGAAGCTATGAATGAGGTCAACCCGGGCTTCCGCGACCCTCAACAATAAACGATATGGGCGAAGATCCATTATCTCAAGGGGGCAAGTATCACCGGCAAGTAACAAAGGCCGCGAGACAGAACATTTCCTCGACCCCAAGCCAAAGTGCATGCATCGTTTGACAATCCCAGTCGCTGATGCCTTTCCCACTAGGGTCCAGCAAACGCTCTCAAACAATGAAAGGAACAGGATCTGTGGAAAGATACGAGTGAAATGCGGTTCGACTGTACCTATGGTGGCACAAAGCTGCCAAAGTGCAAGCTAGCTGTTTTTTTTTTTTTATTCTGAAACATTTTCTTTTTTTCCTGGGAAAGGAAAAAAAATGTCCTTCTTTCCCCAGGTAAGAAAGAAGGAAAGTGGCGGGAGGGCGGGCGGGCCGGCCGGGGGGGGGGGGGGGGGGTACCCTTATGAGGGATCCGCGAGCCGCACTTGGACCAGCAAAGAGCCGCATGCAGCTCGCGAGCCGCGGTTTGGCCACCCCTGATATATAGCCTAGCTGAGTGTCGTCTTAAGATATGATTATTGTTGTTCAAGGTGAGTTTCGAATAAATATCTAAACCTGTACCTATGGACAACTATGCCCCAAACTTGGTAATTTTTTTCGCTTATATTGTTTGGGTATCGGATTTAAATTAACACCAGAGACAGTACATATCATTACCATATGCAGTATACAAAATAATGTTTGTTTTTTTTCACGTTGAGGAATAAATTAACTCATGGGGGAAGATTTCTAAAATTGTTCATGTTCAGCGCGTATTTTTTTTTTCTCTCATTTTACGTTTTTGGGACGTGTTTCTTTTGGCCTGTACACATTTTGGTGGGAGAAACTTGTTTCATAGTTCTGGGCCTCTGAATATGCAAGAATAACACACTTCCGGCGGCTTCTTGATAGTTTTTTTTTTTCTCCAGCTTTTTATTTTTGCATTTATTGTTATGTTTATTTGTTGATTATTTTTTACGAATGACACAGTTATTTAGGTCGAAAAGACATAGCTTTGAACTTTCGTGCCACCGAGCATGTGACGAGTAGTGCCTCCTGACAACGAGTTTCTAAAGGCCTGTTCACACATGCAGTAGAGCGCTACAAGCATAGCGCTGACCTCCTGCTAACCACATTCCGACGGGAGCGTTCACCAGCTTTGTATCGCACCGTCAAAACTGTTGCTCATGGCATACGATAAGTACCTGACGGCACGTGAGTAGCGTTACATCAGCGCTTTGCTGCAAGTGAGAACCGGCCTTAACAATGACCGTCTACGCGATCTTCTATGCAGTGAAGAGCGACAGTAGCTATAGATATGCATAAATAATTTCAGATTAAAATAAGCTCGACCATGCCCTCTTTCCCCGTATTGTTTGCTTTAACAGTCTGAAATATCTGGGAGGGGGGGGGGGGATGGAGAGACTGGAGCTCCCCCCCTGTTTTTCCTCTTCCGACGCCACTGGTATGGTAGAACGCCCCTCGACCTCCAATTGCGTCAGCTTCTGTGCTTTTTGCTCGGCGTTTCTTCCGCCCCAGAAAATAAACCTCCAATGCAACTACAGACAAAAAAATTGTCAAGGTGCGGGCGAGGTGGTGTATGTTGATCATGATGGAAAATCACGAGACTGGAAAGAAATTCGCAAGAAATAGTGTAAGAAGAAAGAAAAAGGGGAACTGGACAACGTCTCAAACTCAGCTGAGTTGAGTTTGAGACGTTGTCCTGTCCCCTTCTTTCTGTCTTCTTACACCTTTTCTTTCAAATTTCATTCCCAGTCTCAGGAGTTTGCATCATGTACAGACTAAACTTACTGTCTGCCAGCGTCACTCGGGCGGGGTTCGATTGGATTACTACCAGCGTGCAAGGGGGTAGGGGCCCGGGGGGCAGTTTGCCAGATCACTTCAAGGTTTTTCTGAACGTCAACCACCTGCCTGCCCCTGGCCGTTTCGAACTGGATGAGTATCGTTAAACAGTGCGTTCGTAGGATAACTACTTCGTAATGCTCGTTAATGACCACCCCGCGCTGGCGGTCACAATTACTGATCTATTGTTACACGTCACTGCACTGGCAAATATTCCAGCACATCCGGGGCACTCGTCGTCTCATTTAATTGCCTGACCAGCTTCGCGCAGTCTAAATGTCACACCCGAACTTCTCTAAACCTAATTTCGTGAAAACCAGTGAGGCGTGAAAACGTTATTAGAAACTGAAACTGTGGCGGAACATCAAAACCGGACTTCGAACTTTGCGCACTTGGACTTCAAAAAAATCGAAAAACTTCAAAGGTATTTTTTCTTTCGAATTTAGTATTAAAAGAGAATCGAAACCTTCGACCCTTCCGAACTTTATGTAAAAATAAATGAGAAATCTTCGAATTGATCGAACTTTATGTCTTTAAAAGTTTGAAACGTTAGAATTTTTCGAATTTTAGATATAAAGTAATAAGAAACATTCGAATCTCTCGAATTTCAAATTAGGGAAGCTCGAAATCTTTGAATTTATCGAACCTCAAGTAAGCAAATATTCGAAATAATCGAACCCGAACTTTTAGAAACCGTGAAAGCCTCGAAGTTTTCGAATTCGAAACCCCACGATTTTGGAAAGTTGCGAATTTTTCGAATTGGAACCTCCCTAGGTCGAAAATATCGAAACTTTTCGAAATCGAACATCGAATTCGGTTCGAACATATCGAAACCTTTCGAATTCAAACCTAGGATGATTTGCGGCATCAATATTGCGGAGTATTTGTGGCATAGTTATAACAGAGATGCAAGAACATTTATTTTGTGTTTTACTGCTTTAGAGTGGTGAATGTTGCGGGGACAACTACATCATTTGGCCCGCCAGCTCGTTACAGAGCGAAATGATGGATAACAAACGTTGATGGAAGCAAGTCACAGGGAAGGTAAAGATATTTTTTTGTTTTTTCTTTGTTTGCTGCATTGCAATTAGGAGATTTCACATTATTAGATCTGCTGAGACACTTGTTGCTTGGTCTTCAGTGAACGATACGAGTCAGAATTTATAGATTTACAGAAGTAAAATTTCCGGGATGCTATCAGTTCAAAAGTCTTTTTTACCCAATATAGCCAGCACGAAAGCATATTCTAGAGTTGTCATTTGGACACCAGTTTGAGTTGTCTTCACTACTTGTGGGGTCGCTCTATTATAATCGCCGACCGATCGGTATATGCTTCGCTCGTCTCCCAGGGAGTGACACAACGCAACGAGGAGACTGCAAATCGGTTTACTGTACTTCCCAGTGGTCCGTCTTCGAGAGCCGGCACTACGGACCCGCCGATCCTGGCTGTCGCCCGTCGTTCAGAGCTTGCAGTCGGAGTCCGTGTCCAGGCCTGCGGATCGTCTTTCCCCCGCCAGCGCTGCACAGACAAGCTGTTCCGGGCCCTCACTGCCCGAGTCTCGCTGTGTAACCACTCCAGGATCGTCATGGCCCGGGCAGCTATAGCCAGGGCTCGCCGTTTCCGCTGGTCCAGATCCGGACTTCGCTGGTGGAACGCTCCGGGGATCGCCATGAGCCTGACCAGCCATAACGGCTCCATCGTTTCTGCCCGGCACCAGCCCGGTGCAGCACGCTCTTCTTGTTTCTTCGCACTCACCCCCGGCTAGAATAAAATCTGGGTAATTAGAACCAAACTCTGCCTGCTAGAAAACAATATGCACGTTGGAATGGCTGTAATGTGATATGCAAGCCTGGTGTAAAAGGGAGACAGACATAAAGTGTACGTGTGAGAAGGGTATTTACGCTTCGCATGAGCTTTTTCTAAAGAAAACCTTGTGCATCC